TTGGTCTGTAGAGGAGGAGGAAGGAGAAGTGGGGAGTGTGAGGGCGGAGAAGGTGGGTGTTTATTCAGCTAATGGGGAGGTGGGTGTTGGTGGTTAAACTTGGTCTGTAGAGGAGGAGTGGGGAGTGTGAGGGCAGAGGAAGAAAAGGTGAATCTGTTATATAACTAATGGGGAGAGGGGGTTGATTTTGGTCTCTTGAGGAGGAGGAAAAGGTAAGTTTGTTTATATAACTATTGGGGAGGGGGGGGGGTTAATATTGTTCTATAGAGGAGGAGTGGGGAGTGTGAGGGCAAAGGAGGAAATAGTAAGTCTGTTTGATTTATTATTGGGGGGAACCTCAGAATTTAACGTCCATCTCCGATACATGGGTTGAGAGCCTCGAAAACTCCACAAAACGGCTTGTGTTCAAGAACACCCAGTCTTGGATTCAAACCAGGGCCATCTTCTCTGTAGCCTAATGTTACACCTACTGAGCTAACGGAGCGCCTTGGTAATTCAAGAACTGGTAGAGATGTTTGAAGAGTTGACATTTCCCGTCTGTGTGTCATTGCTGATGTAAGTGTGTTGTGTCCCTGACCCCCTCCTCTCTTCTCTCCCCTGACAGACCTCGGGCCCCGTGTCGGTGTCGGACATGGAGTTTCTCACCTCCCTGTGTGAAGAGTTCTCCTGCTCACAGCTGCTCCAGTGCTTCACGCAGACCTTGGCCTACATAGCACAGCTGCCCGAAGAGAAAGTGGGCACCACTGGTGAGTCTTAGTTTTAGTTTTAGTCCCACTGATTCCATCTATAAGTCTTTTGATTTTGATGTGATTGTATCGTCATTCATCAGTATTATCATTCCAGTGACATATCTATGTTGAAATGTCTTTCATCTGTGTTCTAACCTCTAGTATCTCTCATCAAACACTTCTAGCATCGTTCATCGAAGGTATTGATCTCATTCCAGCGACATCATCATTGCCTTTTTCCCCCTGGATCAGGATATAAGCCACGAATAAACACTTTCCACTTTTCACTATCCTGGGCGAGTCACTTGATGTCACTCCCATGTCTTCCCACTTTTCTGTGCATCCATTTCCGTGACTCTTCTCCAGGTTCTACGTGGTCTTCCCCTTGATCTTTTGCCCTGTGGGTTCCAATCCAACACTTTCCTTGTTATGCAGCTGTTGTAATGTCTTTCATCTGTGTTCTAACTTCTAGCATGTTTCGTCAAACGCTTCTAGCTTCTCTCATCAAATACTTTTAGCATTGTTCATCGATGGTATCGAGTTCATTCCAGCGACATATCTATGTTGAAATGTCTTTTCTATGTGTTCTCGCTTCTAGCATCTTTCATCAAACATATCAATTTGGTTCCAGCGACGACGCCCAGCAGGGAGGGGGTGAGCCTGGAGGAGATGGGCCCAGAGGACCTGGAGATGTTCAGCGTGTCCCAGCACTCGGCCAAGCAGCTCCGCCACTTCAAGTTTGCCGCGCTTTACGCCCTGAGGGAGCTGGTGGCCGGCCAGCACTTTGTGGCACAGGTCTGTTGTTTGGTCTGGCTTTTTTTTCTTCACTTACTTACTGCAAAGAGATCCCAGGTGGTTCTACTGCAAAGAGATCCCAGGTGGTTCTGTGACTTGCCAGAGCCTGTAGCCAATGGTTAGAAATGGTAGCGAACTGTCATAGCCTGTAGCCAATGGTTAGAAATAGTAGCCAACTGTCTGGGCCTGTAGCCAATGGTTAAAAATGGTAGCCAGCTATCTGAACCTGTTCTGAACCTGTGACCAACAGTCATAGCCTATAGCTAGTTGTCATCGCTGCAGACCAGCAGCTGTACAGGAAATCTTGTAATTTCAGTTCTTTCTACTGTCTAAGTTTTTGTGAAAGATCCCGCAACTGGTTGTCTTAGACAGGTGGATGTCTTTTAAAAATATTTTTTAGTAGTTTTATGGCGCTCGCAACTGCATAAGGTCATTTGAACGCGTGGATGTCATGGACAGTGTCATTATGGTATAGAAAAAATACTAATAGGAAATGATTGTACAAGTGATTGTCTAGGACAAGTGGCTGTTATATGAAGCAGGTTTGATTAGTAATTTTTTTTTTCTCGTAAAATTCCACCTTTTGACATGTCGTCGCCTTAGAACTATTTTGTCCAAAGTGCACTCTATAGTAAGTACACTTTGTACTAACTAGTTCTGAGGTGATGATGTGTCATCATTGGCTGCTGAAGGAGAGATGAAATGAAACAAGTGTTGATGATGATTTTCCTTTTTGTTTGTCCTGTGACAGATGTCGAGTTTGGATCCGAACTCCTTCCTCCCGGACTTCCAGCAGCTGATGGAGACGACGTTGCAGTTCATTGGTCAGGTGACCGTGTCACATGACAAGCACAGGGAGGACAGCTCGGCTCGATTCTGGAGGATTTTGCTGCACAAGTCACATGACCTTCTGGATGGTGTAAGTCGTGAGACGGGGGGGGTGTGCTTCTTTTATCCTGTCAAACATCTGTTGTCCTTATCTCTCCTCCTTCTTTTATCCTGTATGTTACTCTCTAGTAACACCGTTATTATATGACCTGTTTGTGTTGAAAGTGCAGCCTGTGTGTACGTGTATGTATCATGTATGAACGTTGCCTGTGGGTTTATTTGAGATTGTAGGATGACAGTCTCATGAGAGTGCTCGCTCAAAAGTCAAACAAGCTGGATGGAAAAGCTTTTTCTTCCCATACCCCTAGAATTTGGGATTCCCTCCCAAACAAAAGAAATGCTCATTATTTCATCAGAGAGCAATAGTTTAAGAAAAGTCTAAAGACACATTTGTTCAACACTATCCTCAGCCAAAAAATTTTGCATGCATGATGGTGTGTGTGAGTCTAGGAGTTGTATGTGTGTGTGTGTGTGCATTTGTTAATGTATGTGTTCAAATGTGTGTGCGTTTTTGTTTACATGTTGTGAAATGACCTCATAATTTGCATTTTCTGTTTTTTGATTTGTCAATATAATTGAGTGATAAGTCTACTTTGTATAGTGCTTAGAACCTTATAGGGCTGGGATGAAGCGCTACATAAATTCCCATGATGATGAAGATGATAATTATTATTGTTGTTATTGTTATTATTATTGTTATCATTATTGTTATTATTGTCGCCCCCTAGCTGGTGCACCTGTTGCCGGACACCCTGTTCCTGGACGTGGTCTCTGGCCTGATGCAGCACAGACTGACGCTCGTCCAGCGCCGCGCCCTGGAGCTGCTCAACAACAAACTGGTCTACTTCAAGGAGAACACGGCTCAGATCCCGGTCAGTCCGTCTTGTCGTTTTGGTTTCCGTCTGTCTATCAACCCGTTTTTGTCCGGAATTTAACCCTTTGAGCCCTGACTCTGCTGACCCTAGAATACCCCCTGCCTGGCCTCGTCGGCCATTTTCACGTGGGTCACAACAAATAGACTAGACAGCAATTACGTCTCACACAATAACAAAATGTCCACACAGAAACTAATCAGTTATCTTACATCTAGAGCCAGCGAACATTTTTTTGCTCACACATTTAGGCCTAGAAGGGCCTGGCTCAAGCTCACTTGGATCCCTGACTCTCAGACAGATGAAAGGGTTTATCGAGCTACACATCGATAAAGTCCCAGAGCGGTCAGAGAGTTTCTCGGGCTCTAGGGGTTAATGACAGTTATTGTGCAGATCTCGGTCAGTCCAATCCTCTCGTCTTGTGGTCTGTCAGTTGGGTCTTTGTTGTCTTTAACCAATTTTTTTTTTTTTTTTTTTGAGAGGGGGGGGGGGGGGGGAGTGCTCTATTCTTCCCATCCATCTATCTTACTTTTACCCAGCATCTAATGACAGTTTATGTATGGATGTGCTTTTGTTATGCTCAGACTTAACTAAACTGAACAAAACAAGAATCAGTTTCAGCAGGTGGTTAGAGGGTGCCACTAGTAGGTTCTACGTTTTTTAAAATCTCCCTCTGTTCTGTCTGTCTGTCTTGCTTTTCCTTAGCACGAAATGGCCATCATTATACCTATGTGTTTCTATTTACAGTGATGAAAATAAGATAAGACTCATGTGAATGGTTGAGGGGTGCTCTGGTGTAGGATGCTCCTTCTTTCATATCGAACATCTATCGTCCTTATCTCCTCTCTTTCTTCTTTGTGTTTGTTACTCTCTTGTAATACCTCTAATCTTCAGCACTTATATAATCTTACTGTGTTACAAGTGCCGTAAAACTCTTACTGTGGATGGTTAACGGGTGCTCTGGTGTGGTTTGCTTCTTCTTTCCTATCAAACATCTATCGTCCTTATCTCCCCTTCTTCTGTTTTATGTTTGTTACTCTCTTGTAATACCTCTAATCTTCTGGCGTTCATATGACCTTATGCAGCTGCGAGCGCCGTAAAACCTCTACTAAAACAAAAAACTCTTTACTAAAACTAAAGTTAGACTCACCTAAAGTAAAAAAGAATATATGTTACTATGTCCTTGTCATTTCCTCTCCAGGTGGACTTGTTGACCTCCATGAGAGGCAAGCTTCAGGCCACGGTGAAGCAGAGTTTGCTGACCGGTGCGGTGCCCGGCAGGAAGGAGGAGGAGCTGGTGATAGGACAGGCGGCCATGTACGGCCTCAAAGTTCTGTGTCGCATCCTCGGGGAGAAACAGCAGGAGGACTTTGTACAGGTGAGGAGGAGGACAGGTTGGGGGGG